TGAAAGGACAATACAGGAAACAGAATTCACGAAACAGATTCAAACAGATATCAAGGAAATTGAGAATTTCATTAAAAGTTAGCAAAACTACTTCAAGGAACCTGAAGATAGACTTTCAGACCTTGAAGACAACAATGAAGTTAATGGACACAAAATGAAAGATCTCTTACAACTAACTAGCAGCAAGGAAACAACAATTTAGAAGCTACAATATGGTGCCTAGAAAATATAATAGAAGATTAATATGTGTCAAAAACACAGCACAAGTCAGCAAAATGACATAAAAAGACTATTTGCAGAAGCACTAGCAGAAAATTTCATGTGAAGATAATCTGACATACACATTAGTGAGGCATATAGAACTCCCATTCGTCATAATCAAAATAAATCTACATGCAGTCACATAATATTCAAAATCCCAAGATTTCAGCAAAAGAATAGAATATTAAAAGCTGTTAGTGTAAAGAACCAGATTCCTTATAATTGAAAGCCATCAGAATTATGGCGTATTTCTCGGTACCAACCACCAAATTAAGAAGAGCTTGAAGGAAAGTGTTTCAGATCCTGAAAGAAAATGCTTTGCAACAGAGATTAATGTAACCTGAAAAATTACCTATCAAATTCATTGGAGAAATAAGATACTTGCATGTTAAAGAACAAATGAATAAATACATGGCCATGAAACAAACCCTTCAACACTTCAGACTGTAGTAAAAGATATTTTCAGTATATGTGTTGCCGAAGCGAGCACAGTAAAAGATATTTTCAAAAGAGACAAAAATGATCACAACTTCAAAAACAACAACAGAAAGAAACCATCAATCAGAGCAAGGAATTAAACAGATGAAAAAAAGAGGGAACCTATACTAGGAAAATAACATGACAAAAATAAACCAATGCAATAGTAATGGAGGACTTTAACATCCCAATGACACAAGGAGCTAAATCAACTAAGTGAAAAATCAACAAAGAAATAACAGAACTAAGTGAAACGTGTGAAGAAATGTACTCATTAGAACTTTACAGATCACTTAGCAAAGTCAGAATAGAGGCTCATCTCAACTGCACATGGATATTCTCCAAAATAGACCATATATTAGCACATAGAGCACACTTAAGTGAATGGAAAGGAGCTGAAATTATGCTATGCATGTTATCCGACAATAGTGCAATGAAGATGGAATTTTGTTTTGGCCTGTTTAGCCCACCCTGAGGGCAGGGCTGGCATGGCACTTGGTGCCAGGGATCAATTCATGGTCCCTGCACCTACCTAAGCTTGCCTAAGCAAGCATTTCAAAACACTGAGCTACCTCACCAGCCCAAAAATGGAAATTTTTGACAAAAGAAACAACAAAAATTCCACAAACGCATTAAAATTAAGCAATGCTCTCCTGAATGATCAATAGGACACAGATAAAATTAAAGAAAATTAGACAATATTTATACTAAAAATGCAGATACACAACTTAATAAAGTTATAGTAGTAAATTGTGATAGCAGTAAAACCCAGTGAGTCCAGATAAACAATCTTATGCTGTACCTCAAACACCTAGAAAAAGAGGAGCTAGTCAAGCCCAAAGAAGGTAGGAAATTATGAAATGCAGAGCAAAAATTAACAATTGAAACACAGAAAACAATGCAAAGGAAAAGTAAATAAAAAAGTTGGTTCTTTGAAAGAATAAATAAAATTTATTAACCGCTACTCAACCTTATTTAAAAAAAAAGAAAGAAAAAAATTCAAATTCTTGCAAAAAGGAAAGAAAAGGGTTAAATCACTACAGACCTTATAAAAATTCAAAACATCAGCACCCACTTGCAAAATCTTTACTCT